CGCTTGACAATGAAGTGTACCCAGGAGACATCACCAACCAGCAAGTTGACAAGGAGATGGATGCCATCGACAAGGAGTTCAACACGAGTAGCTGCAGCAATGCTGTCAAGATCCAAGATCTCCCACTCAACAAGAATGTTGAAGTGCCAGTCATCCAAGATCCACTAGTCCAGAAGTGTCAGAAAGCGAGAAAGCAGTATCCGCCTGGTAATGAAATCGACCTTTTCCGACAAGATCCAAATGACTGGCGATGTCAGGAGCTGGGTGTTTCTTTCATCCACACAGTATGAAGCATGCGCCGCACACGCTCACACCATTGGCATAAAAATACCACTCGCATCACCTTTGGACGCTGCGTGCGCTGCTTGTTTTGCAACCAGAGCAGCTGAATAGAATCTGGATCATGCCTGCATCGAAGTGCAACTGTGGGTATTCATCCGTTCACAGCCCATTCTCAGATGCGCCGGCTGTCAAGCCGATGCCACCCGATGCCCATCAAGGTAGATACATTCGATCCGACGGATGAACCTCATCAGCCTGACGAACAGCAGCACCACATCAACCGGACCATCCCATGCCTGATCCAAGACCTCAAGCCCGCTCAGGATCCACAAGATCGGCCTGATCAGCCCAATCATCCCCTGCCACCGCCAGATCCACCTCAACAAAAATAGTCAATTTCATCCTCATCAACTAGGGGGTGATGTCTCTTTGCCGTCTCAGCCGCAGCCATCTCAACCGATTCTCCGACTGTCGTGGCTGGCGCCTAGCAAAAGAAGAGCCAACTCCACCCTTGCAGAGTCCGCCAAAGCAGAAAACTGAGCAGGACAAGAAGCCAGATGACAAATCACTTACGCAATCCGATTCTGAGGATGAACTCATCCCTCACGTATTGGATCTGCAAAAAAGCTTCTTAGAAAGGTCAATCTCGCTTTTCCTCATATGCAGCCCCAAGCCGCGGAATTTGCATGTTTTGGGCTTGTTGGCTGGTCGGAAATGGTCAGAAGGTGATCGGAAGTTGGAGATGGTCGGAGGTGGTCGGGAAGTGGTTGGAAGGTGGTTGGTTGGAGGTGGTCGGAAAAGGGGCGGTGGTTGTTTGGAGGTTGCAGCCTGGTTCTAAAGGTGTGGTGCTGTTCGAGCTTGCGGCGGCCTAGCGCTTTTCCATACTTGGATCACGCAGTGCAATTCCCCACGTCATTTGCTTTTTAAGCACGGCTTATAGCCTATCTGACCAGCAGGCCGCCCGGATAAGCCAATTGAAAATCCAACACCCTCACGTCCCAACTTCATCGGGCGCTAGAAGTTCACGCCCCAACTTCATCGGGCGCTGAAAGTTCACAGGGAACCATGAGATTTACTGACCAAGAAGAAAGAAGATGGAGAATCAGACTTTTAGAGGATAAGGGCATACGGTGATCAGGGAGCAGAGTCACACATGACAGCCGGCCAAAAGGCTTGTGCTAACACAGGAGAGCTATTGAAGGAAACCCCGTCCTACTGGGAAGGGTAAAATGAACCTTCAAACCAACCTCTCGGTGTGGATCTCTCATCAGAAGTACACAGACAAGAATCATGTTGATCAGTTGTGTAAGAACATGACAGATGATGACCGAGCACTTCTAGTCTTGTACTCATCCAAGCAAGAATACTGAAGGCTTCAACAACATCCGCACGTATTTGCAAGAAGCGGAAGGAAGCAAAAGCTACTGAGACAAGAGCTTCCCAGAAGCAGTTCCTTGACGGACTTGTGCCAACCCGAGCAGATCGATGTCCATATGTTTACTATGGAAGCAGCAGTTGATTCCCTCATGGGCCCCGTGTCAGGCAGCAATGCCCAGAATCGACAAGTTCATGGGGCACTTTCTCTTCACGTAGATGATCTTCTTATGACCGGTGACGATGTGTTTGAGAAGGAAAACAGGGGACGACTTCGGATGGATTTTCAAGTCGGTTCCGAACCAACGGGAGCATGACGACACGCACGGTTGGTGCATCAATGTCCATCAAAATGCCATTGAGAAACACCTTCTACAAGAATTTGCAAAGGTGACGTCAGATCAACTGGTTACAATCGCGAACACAGTTCCACATTGGTTACCAGAGCAGCATCACCGACCATTCCGGACGTTCGTGCTATAAATAAACCAGTCAGAACCAGCAAAAGCATCCCGCTCAGCGTGAGATTTTGGTCCCTCCATGGCAAGACACGCATAGTGAGTTATCCAGACGCATCCTATCGTAACAATGAAGACAAGTCATCCAAACGCGCGCACGTCACCTTTCTTGCAGAAGAACGAGACCTTTCGCAAAGGCTCATCGAACTTGAGAGGCTCACTGATCGATAATGAGACGCATGAGATCACCGCTACAACGATGTCCACAACTGTTGCTAAATCGCATGGACGAATGCGTTGTTAGGGTCATGTCACATGTACGAAGTTAAGATTACCTCGCGGATTTGCTGACCAAGCACACAGCTTCAAGCTGATCAAGGCCGTCCTGACGGGCAATCTCCTGAATGTAGATGCACGCCCACCCTGTTTGCGGAAAATACAACCCACGGACCCATGTCTGCTTATTTGGGAACTTCGGAATGGCCCGTGCCCGTTGAATTTGACGCATGACCTTCTCATTTTCCAACCTTTTGGCTCCTCAATGCCGCGGCGACTATTTTTGCGATTGACCATGCATGAAACTCCAGAAATTCGCGTCTGCGTCCGCAGCCAGTTTGGTTTACATCACGCCGACTGTTGCGATCCTGCGTGAACCATCAGTACCGAAGAGACGTGCGTCCCGACTGCGAGCTTCTCCCGAGCGACTTTCCCATAGAGCAGAGAAATGATGATCGCTCAACGACGAAAAGAACGCCGACATGAGTATGGAACTTTGGAAAGGAGGCGGATCCGCTGCCCGCGAAGCCAAAAAGAGCATGACTGCCTTCGGCAGCAATTCTGCAGCGCGCAGGCCCCATAGCTTGGCGCTATCCGCCATCTTCGAAGCTGGTGTGAAAGAGGAGGCGTCCATGCGAGCCTGGAAATTGCGGCTCCTGTTGCAAGACTGGGTTGATCACAGCGGCACACCTGAAGCCAGAGCAATGCGATGGAGCACGTCGCCAGCTGCCCCAGCGCAGCTTCTTCCGGAGCTTGTCCTTTCCTTTCCAGCCTGCGACGTGCGCGCAAACTTCCGGACTGACTGCCGCATGCTTCTAGAGCAGGAGGATGCGTCCGACCAGTTTGTTCACGTGCTGCAACTGGTTGCCCGAGCCCGTTTTCCTCGCTGGCCGAAATCGATGTAAAACATGGATTGCTCAAATTCTGCAAATTCGGGAACCACGCAATCTCGCGATATTCCGAAGCGTGCCCGCGCTCGCCTGCGCAATTGTTGCGACGCAGCGCGCCTGCAGCAACAATTTGCAACGCATGTGCGCGCAGCAATTGCGCGACTGCACGCAAACGCAAGCGCAACGAAACTTGGCACCGCCGTAGCACGCTGCAATTGCGCAGCGCTGCAGCGCGAAAACCGCGCTGAAATCAGCTGCGCCGCTCGCGCTGCAACGGCAACTGCCGCTGCAATGCGCAACGCGGCTTGCGGCCAATTCAACGCGCGACTCATCGCCTGGCGCAAGCCCAACCACCGGGTCAGGGCCATTGTTTTTCGTGATTCCCTCATGTTTTTGTCGAGCGCAGGTCACTTCCCTGATCCCTTGAGGCCGCCCTGAAGCTCAACCCGGAAGCAACCTTCGTTGTGGCTCACACGCGCTGCTGCACATCGTCGTCTGGTATACAGGCGCAACGGGCTAGGCGCGGCGCCGCCAGCCACCGCCTCCGCATCTTTTGCGGGTTTTTGCGCAGCTCGGGGCGCCGCCCGCTTGTCGAGCGCTGCGCGTGGGACGCGCATCTCGAGAAGGAACTTGCGTGGAACTTTGGGTCTTGCTGTGCCTCGGTCAGGCAGCCATTGCATTCTTGAAGGCGCCGCGCGGTGTCTGCAGCGTGTAGACTTCGCAGTCTTGCGCCAAGTTGACATCACACACGGCCTGCGCCCCGAAGTTGCAGTGGGTTGCGTTTTGCAAAAATTGCCGCCCTGCAGCGCGGGCGCCTGTGGCTTGATTCATGTAACGGTGGGGCTCGAATGTCTCATGACAGCGAGCTACCACCTTTGCAACCCGTTTGGTCAAGGTTCGACCCTCTGGTTTTGTTTGCCCCCAAACTGAGTTTGTGTCGAAGAGACTTCAGATTCTGAGGTGAAATCCGAGAGTTGTTCAGAAATGGTCTGAAAAGACACGGACTACGGACTTGGTTAGGTGTCGTACTTGAAGGGACTCTGGCACTGTTACACCGTCAGCAAGGCACGCTGTAGAATGCCAGGTTGAACAGGAGTGGCCTTGTTCCCATGTCAATGTGTCATGATCAGCAGCGTATCATCAGTCTGGGAATTCACGAAGCAGCGCCACAGAGCAGAACAGGAATCCTGGCCTTGCATCCCGGAATGTTCGCATCATCCAGAGGTGGACGGACAAGCCCAGCGCAGCTCACACACATAGAGAAATTATGTAGCGATAAGAAAAAGCTCCAGCTGAGTTTTTCACGTTGTGGGTGCTTTGATCATTTCTTGTTGGTTGGTGTACGCTTAATGCCTTGAGCCGCCTGCAACATGGAGAGAGCCCGTCGGGGCTCCGAAACCGTTCGGGTGCTTGATGCCGCGAGGAAGCAGGGGGGCTGGGCGCGACCGACCCAGAAGAAAGTGTTTTTCTGCTCATGGCGCTTGAGCTGTTAACTTCGATGCGGTTGCCTCCGAGCAGCTTCTTGCCCAGACACGGCCCATTGCCATGCTCCTGTTGGTGTTGTCAACAAGCATGAATACAGGAGTGCGCATGCTTTGGCCGGAATGGCCTCAAAGTGTGAGGCTCGGGTTTGCCATTGAAGACACTTTTGTCAGGCACTCAGGGGGACTGAGGGTGGTGTTTGATTAAGAAATCATCAGTCTTGGGAGTTCTGACACCGAGCTGACCTGGCCCAGATGCTTAAGTGCGCAAAAACTCATGGAGGATGCGTCGCCAGGGGAAGTCATCGTTTGGCCAGCTGACGAAGTCCCCAAGGAGCGCCCAGCTGAGGAGCCAGAGGAACAGATTCTGCACATACCTGCACCGGTGTTGGCGCTGATGGTTGACATGAATGTGACACAGCCGCGGGTGCTTCGCTGCACTTCGGCGGGCTTGGCCTTGCGATGGGCGGGCCAAGCGCTCCGTGGCGGGGTGGAGCCAGACCTTGCCTTCCGCTGCAGCTGGCCGACCACACGCATTGGCCAGTTCTGGTCCCATTCCTGGCACGGCAGTCTTTGGTCCAAGGTGCTGACCCTGCTGTTGCTGATCCATGGATTTCCCGCGTTGTGCTGCGCCACGCTGGCCGGCGTTGTGGTGATTTGCTTGTCGAGGCCCTTCATGGAGAGACCCTGGGAAAAGGCAAGCCTTCTTGCAGTCATTTGCATTGCTTGCGGCTGTCTGGTCACGACCATAACATTGCTGCTATGGAGGTCAGGGAGGAAAGTCTTTGTGGATCAGCTTTGCATCCACCAGAAAAATCAAGAGCTCAAGCTCGAAGGTGTGTTGTCTATGGGCGGCTTCCTGAAGGCCTCAGATTCTTGCCTGGTGTGCTGGGACTCATCGTACACAGAGAGGCCTGCCCGCTTTGATTGAATTGACCCACATATAATTAGCCATCACAGATTTGATAGTTCTTTGCGGCCAGAGGAACAGCGAGAATCAAGAACCAACAGTCAGCAGCTGCTGCGCAGGCTGTGTGCAGAAACAAGAATACACACACACACACACTCAGCAGCTGCTGCGACAGGCTTTGGTGCATCTTCGAACTGGCCGCCTTTCTCAAGAGCCGCAAGACGCCAGCACTGGCGGTGCGGCCTACATGTCTTGGCCCTGCGTTGGTTTTGTCTAGCGCGGGAGTTTGGGGAGCCATGCTCATCGCAAAAATTGAGGCGCCTTGGCTGCCTTGGTCATTTGTTCCCCACATCTTTGCGCATATTTTTTCTGACACCCACCACCCCACGCTCGCTCGCTCGCTCACTGACGCACTCACTCTCACTCACTGACGCACTGACTCCCTCACTCACTCGGTCCCTTCCTCCCTCACTCACTCACTCACTCACTCACTCACTCACTCACCCACGCACTCAATCAGTCACCCACGCACCCACACACCCACCCATCAACTCACCCACTCACTCGCTCACTCGCTCACTCGCTCACTCACTCACTCACTCACTCACTCACTCATTCACACACACACACACTCACGCACACTCACACACTCACACACTCACACACTCAGACACTCACTCACACACACACACACACTGACTCACTGACTGACTGACTGACTGACTGACTGACTGACTGACTGACTCACTCACTCACTCACTCACTCACTCACTCACTCACTCACTCACTCACTCACTCACTCACTCACTCACTCACTCACTCACTCACTCACTCACTCACTCACTCACTCACTCACTCACTCACTCACTCACTCACTCACTCACTCACTCACTCACTCACTCTCACTCTCACTCACTCACTCACTCACTCACTCACTCACTCACTCACTCACTCACTCACTCACTCTCTCACTCTCTCACTCTCTCACTCTCTCACTCTCTCACTCTCTCACTCTCTCACTCTCTCACTCTCTCACTCTCTCACTCTCTCACTCTCTCACTCTCACTCTGACTCTGACTCTCACTGACTGGCTGGCTCACTCTCACTCTCTCACTCTCTCACTCTCTCACTCTCTCACTCTCTCACTCTCTCACTCTCTCACTCTCTCACTCTCTCACTCTCACTCTGACTCTCACTCTGACTCTCACTGACTGGCTGGCTCACTCTCACTCTCTCACTCTCTCACTCTCTCACTCTCTCGCTCTCTCGCTCTCTCACTCTCTCACTCTCTCACTTTCTCACTCTCACTCTGACTCTCACTGACTGGCTGGCTCACTCTCACTCACTAACTGACTCACTAAGTCGCTCGCTCGCTCGCTCACGCACCCACTCCCTCCCTCACCTCACCTCACCTCACCTCACACCTCACCTCATCCCCACCTCACCCACTCCACTTTCACACTCACCCCACCGCACTCACCTCATTCACTGCACTCTCGCTCACATCTCAACTCTCACTCCACTCTCACTATCACTCCACCCTCGCTCCACTCTCTCACTCCCGCTCCACTCAGCCCACTCGCTCCACTCACTCCAACTCACTCACTCACTCCATCACTCACTCACTCACTCACTCACTCACTCACTCACTCACTCACTCACTCACTCACTCACTCACTCACTCACTCACTCACTCACTCACTCACTCACTCACTCACTCACTCACCCACCCCAAACTTGTCGACGATTGGATCTCATTCACAGCAGTAGAGCTAGAGAGAAGAGGACCTTTCCGAGAAGTACTTCTTGAAGGGCGCAACCAATGCGTACCTTTACGGCCTCTCAGCTTCTTCAATCACTGGTGACGCAAGACGGAGTTCCTCATCTTCACATCAAAGTTTGGCATCTTGCTAGCGATGTGATGCCCGTCATTAGGGCGCAATAATCAGCAGCAGCAAGCAGCTGGTGCCAGGCCGCCGCCATTGATTCGGACGATCCACAGGTACAGAGACAGTATGTAACAGGCATGCAGACAAGACACCGAGACGTGTTCCTATTGAATGACGATGTCACTGCACTTTTTATCATCCAGAGTGAGCTGTCAGACCATGTGCTTGAGGAGCATCCAGCTTAACGCATGCGAGAGGCTGAAAACACAGTGTTGCGATCTCTTCATCGCAACAAGAACATCCGTTCAAGACCCATCATCAGGCGCAGGACATGCTCTAGTTGACTTGGCAGGAGTGGCAAACTGAAGTATCACGGAGAAGTTGACGCCAAACGCCTCAACCACTATGTCTATGACGACGACGGTGACATCAAGCTTCTCCGCTCAGAACCATCCAAGTTGGAACTTGTTTGCCCGCCCGAGTCATCCAAATCCAAAGCGGACACAGCAATTCCCAAGATCATTGGATCGCAAAGGCAGGATCACTGTTGACAGGAAGAACACGCAGACTCGTGTTCACGTATCACGCCTCGGAAGGCATTGCAAACACTGTCAGGAGCTAAGGAATGTCCAGTCAGTCCTGACCATATCAGCCGTGAACGTTTCACGACAACAAAGGCCGGTCGACCGCTGAACCAGATCCTATTGCGCCATCCATTGATGAACCAACGCACAGGGCTAACTTCAACAGGCAGCAAGGATTTTTTGCAGAGGAGCTTGCGTGCTGCGTGCCCAAGCAGCCCACCAATGTGCGTGTGTTTCGCGAGCAGTCATGGTGGGCCAGCTCATGGCAAGTCCTTGCAGGTTTGGAACTTCTTGCTGCGTCTTTTGCCTTCCAAGCAAGTGTGCCTCATCATGGACAGCGCTCCGCAGCAGGCTGAAGAAGCGCGGGGAAAAGCTGCCCGCAGCAGTGTTTGCATTGGCCGTCACAAGCTACGGCTTCAGCCGCTGGACTTGCAGACTGTCAGTGTGCTGCGGTGCCTAAAGCACAAATATTCAGCCCAGATAATGGCTACAGAGAATGGTGTGGTGTCAAGAAGTTGGAGCTTTCATGATTGGCCGGTCTTGAGGAAGCTCGTCAATACGAAGACATCAGGAAGCTTGTCAATCTGCAAAGAAGCTCCACGCGGCGCAGGACAAGGTATTTTACTGGCAAGAAGACAAATCCAAGTTTTGTTCCGACGGAAGCAAAGGATGTGGCTGGGAGCAATTCGTCAAGGTCAACATGATTAATGTTCGGAAGGACGAGAGCATTCTTCCCGGTAAACGAATTGAACTTTTGTTGCCTGATGAGAAGGAAGCCCTGCAGAAAGAACAAGACGGCTCGTCAGCCGACCCAAGAAGCAAGAGTCATCCAAGCGCCAGCAGCCTCCCGGCCATTGCGTATCGACCAAAGTCTGCAGCCACGAAGCCGGCGGAGAACGCGTTTGTGGAGGATTTTTCTTCTACTCCTCAACAAGCACATTGGAACTGTGATAGAAAAATGCGAAAAAGGAAATCCATGTTCTCAAGGTCTTGCAGGAAGTGCAAGATTCAGCCAATGCTGCGCACTGACAGGATTAAAGGGCGGCGCTCCTGTCGACACATGGTCATGGAGATCATCAAGGAGCAAGCGCCCGATGTCATCCTCATGGCGCCGGTGCGCGGACCATGGTTCAACATGTGGAACACCCAGAAAGACCAACAAAAGGCCTCGGAAAAGCCAACGCGCCACGTCCCAATGGTTGAGCTCGTGGCGTCGATTGCGCGATACCAGTTCAACAGGTGGACATTCTCCGTAAGGAGACGGGTGCCATTGACAGGGAGTTCAATGTGACAAGCAGTGTGCCTGTGAAGATACAGGATCTTCCGTTCAACAAGAATGTTCAGCCATTTAGTCATCAAATCTCCCTGTGTCCACAAACTTCGAAGCCAACACACATCCGTGCCATGGGCATCAACATTCCGATAACTTCACCACCAGATGATGCGTGCATAGCCTTCTGGCAAGCAGGTCAGCCAAGCAGAACTGAAACCATGCCCGCACACAGGCACGATTGGGATGTTCTCAGGTCGTTTTCAGAGGCGCCCGCGATCAAGCCGATGTACATCACGATCGTCTGTGCGTTGTGCTCCATTGAAGAAATGATGTGACCCTGCGCACGCATGGATGTGGAAATGATCTTCAAGTACATATTCCTAAGCCCAGCGCGAGTGTATTACAATTCAATGGCAAGCTCGTTCACTCGGCAAGCTGTATTTAAGAAGCGTCTCCCAGGTTCTCAAGCACCTTCAAAGCAGCTTGGCCGACTGCAGGCGCATTGCCAGGAGGCCTCGAGGCCTTTGTCGCAGGTCGCTGCCCAGCCACATTTGTGACTACTCAATCTCGCTGAGCGCCCTCAGCTGTGATGGCCTGGTCACCCACAGTGCGATGGCCAAGAGATCTTGGACGGCAACGACAGACATTTTTCTTAACAGAAAAAATGGCATCGCGCTCCTGATTATCTTAGTACCTTCACTGACTTCTGTTGAAGATACTGATACGCAGGACCAACACGCGATTGTGGCGTGCGCCGGCAAATCCTACGATTCTACCCAGCTGCCGAACTGTACCACGTCTTTAACCAAATTCATTTTACTCTGCCCCATTCAACTTCAACTGTTGAGCTGATCGCAACTTTTATAGCGCAAGTTTGTCAAAGCCGCTCTGAACATCACGACTATTGCATCAGGATCCAAGTTTCTTCGCTACAAGGTGTTCTTGGCGATTGTCTTGATAGCCTGCTAGGCTATCCTGACTTTGGCAGCTGCGCCTTGAACTCGATGGTACTTAGGTCAAGGGCAAGATCAAGAACTCAGCAGTATTCCATGGACCATTTTCCAAGAACACCATGTGCACATTGCTGAATGTTCCATTCCATCCACCCCAGAGCTATGGCGCTGTTGAGGAAGAGTTGTGGAAGCATGTGCTTCCATTTGTCCTGGAATAAATATAGGTGCGATCCGAGCACTGAGGACGGCAACAAATCCGTCAACACACCCAGGAAGGCTCAGCAGGTAACCCTGCGGTCCAAGCCACACAGGACTTGTGGAGCGAACGACCGTCTGGATTACAATTACACCATGGATACCTCAGCGAAAACCCAGAACATTTTCCAACATGTCCTTCATACGAAGAAAGGATCGAATGGACACGGCGCAAAAATTCGATGTTGAAGGTCAAAAGAAATTTGTGTGTTTTGTGTTTGCTTTTCACACCGTTGACCTTCATGCGTTTTGGCTCCAGGCCCGGGGCCGCTCTCTTCAGCTTGCACAACCAGAGCCACGCGCTTACAATGAACAGTTGTGAAAAGACCTTGCGGCAGTCCGCCTACACATACAGAAAGATCAATACCGGGGAAAAATAGGTCTGACCTGAAGAGGTCTCCCTTCTTTCTCCCCTGCCCATTCCCCACTCCCACCCCCCCCTCCGAGACTCCCACTCTCCACTTCCACTCCACTTCGCTCAGTGTGTGGGGGGGTTTAGCTGGTTCTTTTTCTTTTTTGGCCAAGGTGCCAAACTCATTGCTAGGTTGGGGGGTGGTGTGGAGTGTTGAGGGGGTGGTTTTGTGGGGGAACTTGGATGCGTGGGGTTGGTTGGGGGCGGGGGAAATTGGGGATGGTGGTGTGGAGTGTTGAGGGGTGGCTTTGTAGGGGGAACTGGGGATGGTGGGGTGGGGTGGGCTTGTTTCAGGGGGTGACCTGTTATTGTTTTTATGTCCAAACCTGTTATCCACCTTGTTTGTTTTTTTTCTGGCCTAGGAGATGATGATTGAAGTTGACCTGAAAGCGGACCCGCTGAGCCGCTTCATGGTGAGGCCTGGAGCGTATTGCTTCTTGAATGGGAGGCTTATCCATGGTTGCGAAGTGAGTTTGTCCACCCTGAATCGGTCTTCTTTCCACAGGCTTGCAGCGGTACTCCTGGTCCTCTTCACCACATGCAGCCTCGCTACGAGCATGTTTCGGGACTACCACCGGTCAGTTGAGGAGATGGAGCAGCGACTGGGCCAGTTCAAATTGAAGCAGGCCATATGCAGCTGCTGCTCCAAGGGCCACATAAACAAAAGGAGATGGGATCCTCTTTGATTCGACCGAAAGAACAGTTTGGATGGTGGGATGTTGCTTCTAGAATGTGCAGGACTGGTGCCGCAATCCTATGTGATCGCATCGTGCTTGAAAGATGCATCACTTGCTGGTTTGGCTCTGCGGAAGCCTTCGAGGAGTCGGTGCACTTGCACGTGCTCCCATCCTTGAAAAGACAATTGGGGCCGCTTGCCCTGCCGTATTCGTGGATGGTGGGTGCCTCCACGCCTGTTCTGTGGATGAGTTTGCCATCATTGTTGCCCTTCAACACGAACTTGCCTGTCGAGTCCTTTCCAAGCCACTACGTGAGGACCACTTGCTTTCTGATTTCTTGGTGGCTTGCTGGACTGCCACTCCTGCTCAATGTCGCAATGGGCTTGTGCTATTTGCTCCGTGCCAAACGCTCGACGCGATGCAGGGAGGTTCTGGTGAACCTGCTCATTCCTTGTGCGGCGGGGTTGCTTTATGGCCTGGTGGAGGGTTTCTATATCTTCTTGCAGCTCGTACTTTGTGGCTGAGATTTCCTTGTTTTCGGTGTGCTGTAGGTGCTGCTGTCTTCCATTCGCTTCAAGCGGAAAAAAAAACGAAAGGCTTGTTTTTGCAGCTTTGGGTTCATTCCTCTACGTTCGCAGAGAAAGGTACGCGATGGCCAACTACTACTACCCACAGAACAAGATGTGGAACGACGCATCTCGGCCAGAGATACAGGCGGGGAACGCGACAGCTTTGCGGGAATACTGCGGACGCTACCCCTTTTGACCTACTGTTTCGGCTTTGCTCTTGGAAGAGCTGACAGACTTTCGGGAAGCCCCGCCCATTCCGAATCAACCTGAAGCCCCACCCTGCATAAGCTTCCACACGCACCCGAATTCACTGGAACCATCCCCCTCAACTCGCAACTCCTGAGTTCAGTCGTTCCCACGAAGCCCAACCTCAACGCGCGTCAGTACCCCAAACCTATCCCAAATAAACCCAAGCACGTCCTAAAGCCCTCAAATCATTTTGAAGCAGTTTTGAACTAGCCTACGATACCCAAGAACCTAACTCTAAATCAATCCGAAGCCAACACTCAAAAACCTGAGCTAAAGGCGCTGACACCCTATCTGAAACCAAGCCCTGCACCACAATGCACCATCAGAATGAGTGCCGGAAACGCCACGTTTGCTGATACCGTTCAACAAGCTACAGGACTGTACATCCCAGGACTCAGCTGGGCCAGGGTCAGCAGACACCCCTACCGAGCCGCGAAAAGAGTTGCTTTTGCTTCGCATGTTGACCCTGGAACAACCATTGTCATTTTGGCTCAAGTCCCCTCCTGTATCATAGGCACGCAGCATTCATTCTGTAGCCATTACAAAAGGAGAGCAGCAGAGCGCCTTACAGGAATAAACCACCGATCGCAGGACCAGGGACACCCATTCTCAGTTCCTCTTGGCAAGAATAGATCCAGGACCGACATACATTCTCTACTACCACAAGGCACCTGTTCCCTTCTGGGATACGGTGTTTTGGCAGCGGGTCTCAGTTGTGGTAGCAGGGCGGGTTTTCAGCGAAGATCCATACATTCAAGTGCTGGCCCATCACGACCAGAACATCCATCCAATCCAACCGACCTTCGGAGAAATCGGGTACATCCTGGAACAAGGAGAATACGAAGGTGAAGAAGGCTTCTGGGTGGAAGACGAAGAAAGACTGGAGGGTTTCATGTCAACCAACGATGAAGAGACGTTTTGGGTATTGGAGGAGAACGATGGGCGGAATTTCAGATTCAAGAAGAGACTAGACCACGGTTGGCCCGAAAGCAGAACATCGCAAGCGAGGTCGGCCCAACGCTGCATCCCTACACGAAGCATTTGTGAAGCAAGCGCGAGACAGCACCAGGCAAGGTGCTCTGCGCAAACTGGTCGGTGCTCTACGCAAGTTGCACTGTGCAAGTTGCTCTGCGCAAGTTGCTCTGCGCAAGTTGCTCCGGCAAGTTGGTCCCTGCAAGTGGCTCCCTGCAAGTTGCTCTGTGCAAATTGCGCTCCCTGCAAGTTGCTCTGTGCAAGCTGCTCTGTGCAAGTTGCTCTGTGCAAGTTGCTCTGCGTAAGTTGCTCTGCGCAAGTTGCTCTAGGCAAGGCGCTCTGCGCAAACTGGTCGGTGCAAGTTGGTCTGCGCAAGTTGCTCTGTGCAACTTGCTCTGCGCAAGTTGCTCTGCGCAAGTTGCTTTAAAATGCAAGTTGCATCTTGCGACGCCCGCCCGCGGACCAGGGAGGAATCGAACCCGCGACCCGCCGGTTCCGGGAGCAGGCGCGCGAACCACGAGACAACTCCCGAGGACCAGTTCGAACAACAAAAGTCGCAAAAAACCTCGAGTTTTTGCACCTCGACCACGCCGATCCCCGCAGAGGGTTGCGCGAGCACCGCAGAAATCGCAAAAAACCTCGAGTTTTTGCACCTCGACCACGCCGATCCCCGCAGAGGGTCGCGCGGGAACTTTAGAAATCGCAAAAAACCATGGTTTTTGCACCTCGACCACGCCGATCCCCGCAGAGGGTCGCGCGGGCATGTTGGAAATCGCAAAAAACCATGGGTTTTTGCACCTCGACCACGCCGATCCCCGCAGAGGGTCGCGCGAGCACCGCAGAAATCGCAAAAAAACCATGGGTTTTTGCACCTCGACCACGCCGATCCCCGCAGAGGGTCGCGCGAGCAGGTTAGAAATCGCAAAAAACCATGGGTTTTTGCACCTCGACCACGCCGATCCCCGCAGAGGGTCGCGCGGGAACTTTAGAAATCGCAAAAAACCATGGGTTTTTGCACCTCGACCACGCCGATCCCCGCAGAGGGTCGATTTTCGTGTAGTGTCGTCGGCACTACCCCGCCGCCCTAAGAAGAGATTTTAACTCCTCGCAAGTCAATTGCACTTGACTCCTTGCACTTGCAACTTGCACTCGACTCCTTACACTTGCAACTTGCACTTGACTCCATGCACTTGCAACTTGCACCTGACTCCTTGCACTTGCAACTTGCACTTGACTCCATGCGCAGCTCGCAATGACTCTCATGACTCCTTGCAATGACTCCTTGCAATGACTTCTTGCAATGACTCCTTGCAATGACTCCTTGCAATGACTCCTTGCAATGACTCCTTGCAATGACTCCTTGCAATGACTCCTTGCAATGACTCCTTGCAACTCCTTGCAATGACTCCTTGCAATGACTCCTTGCAATGACTCCTTGCAATGACTCCTTGCAATGACTCTTTGCAATGACTCCTTGCAATGACTCCTTGCAATGACTCCTAGCAATGACTCCTTGCAATGACTCCTTGCAATGACTCCTTGCAATGACTCCTTGCAATGACTCCTTGCAATGACTCCTTGCAATGACTCCTTGCAATGACTCCTTGCAATGACTCCTTGCAATGACTCCTTGCAATGACTCCTTGCAATGACTCCTTGCAATGACTCCTTGCAATGACTCCTTGCAATGACTCCTTGCAATGACTCCTTGCAATGACTCCTTGCAATGACTCCTTCCTTGCAATGACTCCTTGCAATGACTCCTTGCAATGACTCCTTGCAATGACTCCTTGCAATGACTTTCATGATGATGATTCCTTGCAATAACAACTCAAGTGAACCCAGCGGAAGAACCCTTCGCCATGCTTTCGGGAACTAGACCAACCGAAAGCAGAACATCGCAAGCGAGGTTGTCCGCACAGTCCGCATCAAATCCAACTGCCTCCTGCAGCAAAAACTCTACAGCCCGTGGCTCTGGAAGAAACCCTCCACGTCGGGCGGCAAAACCTTGTTAGTCTTCGCAGCCCAGTCACGCGCCGTTTTTTGGCACGACCTACATCCGGGGTCTACGTATGCTGCTTCTACGTAGTGCCGCATGCAAGTCAGACTCCGGGCTTCCGCTGCGTAGAGAAAGAGGTACTGCAGCTTCTTCTCCAAGCCGAGCTTCGAATCATTCTCGTGACGGCGCCAGTTCGCGCAGTGTGGCTGCCGATTACAAGGAGATCGCAATCCGTCTGTGCTGCGCGCAGTCGCAGACTGCCCTTGGCTTCCGCGTGGAGGTTGAGGAAACTGCGAGGAACCAGAGCTCGTGCCACCAGCTGGACCATGTTGGCCATCAGCACCTGTCCTCGCACCCACACCCATTTGCCAGAAAAAAGAACATGATTTGCCAGACAAAAAAAAGTATTACAGTTCGCTCCTCATTCACGCACGCACGCACAGACCCGCAGGAAGCGCAAACACAAACGCACACACATACACACGCACACACACACACACACCAACAGAAAAATGCAACCGCGCGCACGCATGCACGCACATATGCACGCAACAGCTGCTTGGGCACGTGCCCTGCGCGCAAGTTGCTCTGCACAAGTGCTTTGTGCAACTTGCTCTGTGCAAGTTGCGCTGCGCAAAGTGCTCTGTGCAAGTTGCTCTGCGCGAGTTACGCTGCGGAAGTTGCTCTGCAAGTTGCTCTGCGCAAGCTGCTCTGCGCAAGTTGCTCGGCGCAAGTTGCTCGGCGCAAGTTTTGCAGCTGGAGCTGCAGGAATGTACTCCGCGTACTACTCTTGTGATTTTGGAGCTGGAGGTGCGGGAATGTACTCCGCGTGCTACTTTTGCACTTAAAATTTGCGACTTTCAGCTGGAACTGCGTGCAGCCAGAGCTGCCGCGGACCAGGCGGGGATCGCACCCGCGACCGCGCGACATCGGAGAGCAGGCGCGCAAACCACGAGACAATTGCCAAAGACAAATTCGCAAGCAAAAAACACGCAAAAAAAAGGAGACAACTCCCGAGGACTACGTGTGCTGCTTCTACGTAGTGCCGCATGCAAGTCAGACTTCGGGCTTCCGCTGCGTAGAGAAAGAGGTACTGCAGCTTCTTCTCCAAGCCGAGCTTCGAATCATTCTCGTGACGGCGCCAGTTCGCGCAGTGTGGCTGCCGATTACAAGGAGATCGCAATCCGTCTGTGCTGCGCGCAGTCGCAGACTGCCCTTGGCTTCCGCGTGGAGGTTGAGGAAACTGCGAGGAACCAGAGCTCGTGCCACCAGCTGGACCATGTTGGCCATCAGCACCTGTCCTCGCACCCACACCCATTTGCCAGAAAAAAGAACATGATTTGCCAGACAAAAAAACAAGTATTACAGTTCGCTCCTCATTCACGCACGCACGCACAGACCCGCAGGAAGCGCAAACACAAACGCACACACATACACACGCACACACACACACACACACCAACAGAAAAATGCAACCGCGCGCACGCATGCACGCACATATGCACGCAACAGCTGCTTGGGCACGTGCCCTGCGCGCAAGTTGCTCTGCACAAGTGCTTTGTGCAACTTGCTCTGCGCAAGTTGCGCAAAGTGCTCCGTGCAAGTTGCTCTGCGCGAGTTACGCTGCGGAAGTTGCTCTGCAAGTTGCTCTGCGCAAGCTGCTCTGCGCAAGCTGCTCTCCTGGCAACAATCAGCACAGCAAAACAAACACCAGCAAAACTCTCCAGATTTCGATCCTGGCCTGTGGCCTGGCCTGTGGGCACAGCTTCTCCACGACAGCGGCAGCTAGGTCTGCCTTGGTCACGTTGCTGCCTGCGACCCATTGGCGCACATCCAGCCGTCGGGCGAGTGCGCGAAGTTGGGGTTGGGCTTTGGCCGCCATCTCTTGCTGCAGCCACGCTTTGCCATGCTGGGCCGCGCCAGCC